TACATCCTGCAGTATTATATTACGATGATGTTACGCCTTGTAGTATTACATTACGATGATGTTGCATTTTGCAGTATTAAATTACGACGATGTTGCACCCTATAGTGTTGTACGTTGAATTTATCGTAAGGTAACTGACATCAGTCCAAGAAAAAGATGTTCAGAGAATATAAGGATTATGTTATTTCACAAGTGATGAGTAAATTCGTAAAGATGAGAGGGGAAGCAAGTCAAAGAAATGAATTTTCGTCCAAGTTTGGCATGTTGGGAGAAAATACGGACCGAGCGTTAATACCCGATATTTATGGACTAGTGTCATACAAGATACCATATGACCATGATAGTATGATATATAAAAGGGTATATAAATTAAATAGTATTTTAAGTAATTTGAGATAATTCTTAATTATGCGGGTAATTGGTTAATTAATTGGGTAATGGGATTACGGAGTCTAACGTGGCAGCAAGACCATGTCCTAATTATGACTCATATTATGAGTGAAATGGTGGAAAATTTAAGTAGTATGTGGCAGCAAGACCTTATCCCAATTATGACTCATATTATGAGTGAAATGGTGGAAAATTTAAGTAGTATGTGGGAGCAAAATCTTGTCCAATTTTCTTTCTAAGATAAGGAATTAGAACACCTTAATGATATGAAATTATGAAGAGCATATGTTCCAAGATCCATGCTCACGTCATTTTTGATCATGTGAATTTATAGAAAGGTCTCATAGAAAATTCTTAGGACACAAGAACTCAGGAGTTCAAGATTAAGCATCTTGGCAATGTGACTCTAAAGAAGCCGGTATAATCTTTCTTAAAAATATCATACGGATTTTTCTTACTTCAGGTATGTTAAAGCTATCCCTTCTTTCTTTTGGCATGATCCATACGACATAAACGAAACGTGCAAATGCACAATTTTCATACATGACTTTATTCATAGAAATATTAGAAATGCTTATGTTCTTGATCCCCCATGTGTCATATTATTCTATCATCTGTTTATGGGTCTCAGAAAAATACGTAAGTTAAAAAACTTTACTTCATGATATTATTCAAAGGCATAATGGTCTTATGACACTCCAAGAGATTTTATTAACGTACTTTTCATGCATTGCATTCATGTACATTGACCCATGACCAGATGGCGTTATATACGCATATATATGTATATATCTATATGTATATGGGATATGGGAAAAAATTATGGCATTATATACACATCACCACCTGATCAGTTGATATATGTTGATGATTTTGGCCACAGTAGCCGAGATGATATGATGGGATTCCCTCAGAGGCTGATGATGTTATAAAACATGTACCTATGCATAACATGACATTCATATGCATATACATGACACTATAAGTATTTCATGATTTATAAAGTTTTCCAGACTTACAAGTTGAGTTAATTACTCTATATTTCTTCCATGTCTGTTATGTACTTATTTATGTGCCTTACATACTCGGTACATTATTCGTATTGACGTCCCTTTTGCTTGGGGACGCTGCGTTTCTTGCTCGCAGATCCCGATAGACAGGTCGAGAGTCCTCCAAATAGACTATCAGCTTAGTGGAAAATGTTGGTGTGCTCCATTTGCTTCGGAGTTGCTTGTTTGGTTAGTATGATTTAGACATGTAGTGGTTGGTATGGTTGGACTCTATCCCGACCTTTATAAAAATTTGCTACTCTTAGAGGCTTCTAGACAGATGTCATGTACGTAAAAGATTGTATGGCCTTGTCGGCTCATGTTCAGTACACGAGTGGTTATCTTGGTCTTATAGCTTGTACTTCATATGTATAAGTCTGTATTCCCTCATGTTTACTCCGTTTCATTTACCTATGATAGAATGATATAAAAGATATATTACGTTGGTACTCAGTTGAGTAAGATACTGGGTGCCCGTCGCAGCCCATCGGTTTGGGTCGTGACAAAGGCGCCCTTGGATAGAGTCTCCGCAAACTTCTTCAGCAGTACAAATTCAATTTCGTCATCTTCCAAGTCGTTTCCTTTTATAGAGCATGTATGTGAGGTGATGTGTTCATTCGAATCGGTTGTCTCGTTATACTTGGGAATCTCGAGCGTAGAACTTCTTGGGGATTGGCTTTGGAGCCGCACTAGGGGGAAGGGTCTTTGCACGAACTTTTTAGAATCTAGTCCTTATATGATCGGGGGTGCCCCTGTATTTGATTAACATGGGAATTATAAGTCTCCACATTTTTGTCATTATCCTCAATCCTCTTCTCCCCAGACTCAATTCTCTTGGTGAGTTCCTCAAGCATCCTCATAATCGTGGGGTCAGTCCCTGAGCCATTACCGTTTGGTCTCTCTGGCACCGGCTCAGTACGTCGAGTATTCCCTGTTTCAACCACACTTGGAATTTTATCCTGACTTTGAAGTTGAGCGATGTCAATCTGTTGAGCTTGTAGCATCTCAAATATTATTTGGAGGCTGATTCCCCCCGGCTCCTATACCCTATGTTCCTTCGCCCCCGGATCGGGCTTCCCTGCGTATACTTCCTCAGGGGTCCGCGCCTAGATCCGCATTCATAGCAATGTGTGAACTAACATCGACTAGTTCCACATTTGCCACTTCCTCAGGGTTTATCGATGGTACACCGACCCCTGCATTGTTGTTTTTCCCATGAAATCCAAGACCATCGTTGTCGTGTATAGGTGCATTTTGCGAGTCTGACATGTTTTTACATGAGAACAAAAATTCTTGACAAGAACAAGTGTAAAAATAACGTGTGTTATGAGAATCAGTACTGAAATAATCATTATTATCTTTAGCCCCACGGTGGGCGTTAAACTGTTTACCTCGAAAATATGAGTAACACTTAAATTTGATTTGTGGTTTTAAAGATACGTGATTTAGTTCAATACCAATTAATAATTAAGAAATATGAAGTATAGATGAAGGAAATAAGCAAAATCAAACCAGTAGATAAGTTAGTAGGCAGTATCGACCTCGAGCTCAAGCGACCTCGAGGTGAGTCAAGAAAAATAAAGCAAGAAATATAAAGTTAAAGGACAATTCTAATGAATAATGAGCGAAAAGTGAGATAGTATATTCTTTTGTCAATGATTAGATGATCTTTACAAATGATTGAGGTCCTCTTTATATAATAGGGGAACCCTAAAATAGGGTACATTTCTATTTACAGCAAGGAATCTTATTGGTGATAGTTGTATAACCGCCTAGTACGGATTTGTACTAATTCGTACAAATCTATTCTGGAATTTACTCTATGATCTTGGGGACGTGGCGGGAATCTTGTCCTTCTGTAACAAACTCATAACGGCACTGTTTCGGAGTCTGTCGTACTTGGCTCCCATGTTCCTCGAGCACTTAGGTCTTCGCGCCTCTTATTTACTTTCGAGCCCGTGGTTGGGCTATATCGAACTTTTGTCCTCGGTGCGACTTCTCGAGCCTACAAAATCGGAGGCATATGATTTTGACCGTATACATCGTGCTCGCTCCAAGTCTATTTCGATCTCGCTCTTCAAGTGACCCTCGAGCCCACTAAATCGGGTAACCCTAATTTCTACCGTATACAAATATAATTAAATTTAGCATTAGAAGTGCGTGATTTTTGTGCAATATTGTTTTTAACATTTTCTCTATCTGTCAAATATTTCGGATCTAGCGAACTTCGCTTCTTAATTTATGGATGATTATTGGAGTCGCCTCCAATCTTTAGCGTTAAGCAATAATGTTCTTTTTAACAATACATGTGTTTAAACTGCTGAAAGCTAATTGAACTTCGTCATATAGTGACTGATGAATAATTTAACCTGATCAAACCGTACCGATTTGGTTATGAGATTACAAAACAGTTGAGCAGTTAATTAAATTAATACTGCTAGCCTTTAAATTGCTTCCTCGCAGGCTTCAACAATACACGAAAAAGAATTTTTATATTCTTTTATATGTACATTGGTTGCTAAGCAAATACCGAACCACAAGGTCCAATAAGTCACCCCTCGTGATAGATTTTTCGAGGTTGGCGATATTAGGAGCCGACCTTTATAGAAGTTAACGCAAAGTATTGAATTACATTAAGGCATAATACATAATTTACCCATCAGCTTTGCAGCGAAATCCCTTGTTACACACTTCTTTTTCGCGAAAAACTTTTTACCCGATCAACTTTTCAAAAGTGGGTCTAAGACACACTACTATTGACCAAGTAGCACTCACGTGTTTACACACACAAAAACGCACGTGAACCCCATAAAAAATTCCATATTTTATCTCCCTTCCGCACAAGAACCCCTCCCCCTCCCCATGGTTTTCTTCCCCACATAGAAGTTTTGAAAGAACATAAAATTTCAGATCTAAAAGCGATTTTTGTTGGTTTATTATCTAAATATAGTGAAAGTCATTTATTTGTGATAGATTTAAAAGTTTTAACAATAGTATTAAAGGTTTGTGAGAAAAATCTAGACTCCACCACTATTGGGGTATTCAAAAAGCTTAAAAATTCAATTGGTCTTGTTGATTATTGGATTGTTGAACTCAATTTGTTGCTCAATTTTCTCCGACTAGTTGATTAGATAGTGTGGTTGAATTTTGGTGTTGGTGAAAACTTTCTCACAAATAACCATGGTGGCGGCAACAATGGTGCTTAGGATAGAAAATGGGAAGTTGAATTTTAATGTTTTTCTCACAAATCACATTAATGTGATTTATCTTAGATACACTTTTGAAATATTAGTGGATAAGTAAAATATTTTCTGTGAACGAGAGGTGTGTAACATGAATTTCGCTGCAAGATCGATGGGTAAACTATTTATTTTGCCTTATAGAAAACCTACAAACTGCAAGTTCTCACCACTTTTTACCATGAGCAAAACCAGTCTTGAGCTAAAAGGCTTTAACACTATATATACTTGAAATCTTTTCAGCATCTTTCTCAGTTTCTCTGGTTCATTAGATATACTTGTCTCAGTATACTTGTTTCTACTAACGCTCGATCTATTCAAGATGGATAGCTCGGAATCTCTCGAGGAGTTACTTATGATGAATAGCGAGGAATCTCTCGATGAGTTCCTTCAGTCCATACCAAAGGTACACCGGTGGGGAAATAACGATCTCGTAAAGCTTAATGGTGTCGGGATTGATCCCAAATATGTGCCAAACGCAGTTCGAGCTCTAAATGACTTCAAGCCACTTCCTAATGATGTAATTCTGGCCTCTTTTCCAAAAACGGGCACTACATGGTTAAAATCTCTCCTCTTCTCCATCACCTATCGCTCTTTTAAAGAGTCATTAGCCAATATCCACCCACATGTACTTGTTCCTACGATTGAGGTCCAGGGTTTTGAAGGATTTGAATCATCAACTCATGATTCAAGGAGGCTCTATGCAACCCATACTCCGTACCAGATTCTAGGCTCAACTCATGATTTATCTAACTGTCGAATAATTTACATTACAAGAAATCCAAAGGACACGCTCATATCAATGTGGCATTTCACAAATAAAATGAAGGATGCAGATGGATCGTTACCCCTTGAAGAGGCCATAGAGAATTTTTGCTCTGAAATAATTCCTTGTGGGCCTTATTATGACCATGTTATGGGATTTAAAACGGCAAGCTTGGAGAAACCTGAATATATTTTCTTTATAACTTATGAGGAGCTAATGGAAGACACAAAAACTCATGTCAAGAGATTGGCTGAGTTTCTCGGTTGCCCATTTGACAAAGAGGAGGAAGTTGAGGAGGTAGTGAAGAATTGCAGCTTCGACATTCTGACCAGCCATGAAGTGAACAAATCTGGGGATTTTACTTCTTGGTTTCCAGTTCCTTTCAGTTCTTACTTCAGACAACGTAACATTGGGGATCATAAAAGCTATCTGGACGCTAAAACAATTGAGCATATTGATGCACTGACAAAAGAAAAGTTTCATGGAGCTGGTTTCATGTATGGCATTTAACATTTGGTTCTACTTTTTTCTTTCAGATTCTTCTTCTTTTTTTTTTTTCGTTGGTATTTTCTGTTTTTCTCTTTCTTTTTAGTTTTTCAAGTACCTGATTGTAGTAATTCCTCTCAGTCCAGTTTCTTTCCTTTCAGATTTCCTTTTCTCTATTGCTGTAGTAATTTCTTGGAGCTGGTAATGGTTATTCCTCCAAGTTTCCAGCGCTGGTGAATGTTAGCCCTCGCTGCGTGCAGACCAAGAGCAACAAATTTAATCTGCTATTATTCTATGAGGATAGAAATAAAGTTGTTTACCCTAAAAAACGGATAACAATTAAATTTAAATGTGGTTTTAAGGATATGCGGATTAATTCAATACAAATGATAAATGACATTAGATTAAACGGATAAGAGATGTACTCCCTCCGTTTAAAATTGGATGAGGTACTTTCATTTTTAGTCTGTTCCAAAATAAATGACACATTTCTAAATTTGAAAATGATTCAAATTTAAACTCTTTATTTTACCCTTAATGAGAAGATTTTATAGCTAAACAAATGTCATGACCCCACAAAGCTTTTATCCCTTAAACTTTCAAGATCATAAGTTTCAAAAGTCTTCTTCTTTTTTCTTAAACACCGTGCCGAGTCAAACTACCTCATCTAAATTAAAACGGAGGGAGTAATAAATGGTCAAACTAATAGGGAGAGTGATCCCGATCTCGGTAACGCCTTAACGAAACGCCTACCTTCTATCCCTGGCTCGCATTAATTGAGAACTGATGAACTAAAATAAGAATTCTTAATAACATAGAGTATAAGAGTATATTGCCTTGATATACGTATTACAATGTGTCCCATGACTATTATGTCTTTCTCTTTATATAGTAGGGGAGTTTTACCCTAAGTACAATTCTAAAAAAGGTAAAAATCATTTGTTTCGCCGATCACTGATTTTCTACCGACACGAGCCGAGATTCACGTCGTGATATCCGGTTAGGCACGGACATCATGACCCTTTTGTTAGCTGTGTGCAGCTGCTTGGTAATGCTCTTCGAAGTCTCAGTCCTTAAATCGGATCTCGTAGATATGCCCCCGATATCTTCGAGGGCAGGTGTATATCCGAGCCCCGATACGAGGGGTTATTCGTCCTGGCCCCGACAAATTACGGTCACATTCCTGCTTCACTTGGCTCATCGGGAAGTCGATTCATGCAGGGGCCACAGTTTTACCTGTATATAGGTAGTCCCCTCGTTTCCCAAAGAATAGGCTAGCTGAAATGATAGAAAACGACAGTTGACTCCGTTTCCTTCATTCGTACGTTACGATTGGGAGCCAAAATGTCCCATCAATCACGTCGTTCAATCGCGTCGGTTGTTTCCCTATAAAAGCCTCATTTATTTGTCCTTTTTCTGCTTTCCGATCAAACAACTATCTTCGAGCCTTCCAACCAATATCAAAACCTTCTTAAAATCTTCATATCTTCATCCCTGTTCTTCAATCTTCACAAAAATCTCAAGATTTTTTCCCAAAATTTCTTCAAATCTTCATACCCTATTTTTCATCTTCAAAATCTCGTTTTTCAGATACTTCGTCTTTATTCCTCAAGTTTTCAAACATTCCTCCATATGACAATGGTAGAAATATCAAAAAGTATTCCTCAACAAGTTTCCTCTTCATCTTCTCAACCGGCCGCTAGTATTGAAGCGGTTAACCATCAGGTGGTTTCCCTTGAAACAACTTCCCCCATTGCGACTACTAATGAACCAGTCACCAAGCCTCCATTGCCGGTGTTTATCACCGCGGGATGCTCAATTGCAGACGACTTCAAGGTTGAGATGCCATTGCGCAAACAGGACCGAGGCAAAAGAGTCTCGAGATGTATATGTTCTGTGACCGAGGACGATCTTCCCACAGTTTGTAAGGACTGGAATTAGGAAGGTAAGGATGTAGTAGTCCCCGGGCCCGAGGACGCCGTTACTACCCATCTAGAGTGGTACTTAAGTGTTTACACTTATCCCTTCACATTGCGTCCGGGACCCAAACGTTCAGGATTTTTGCAAGAGGTACGAGATGTGCCTCGGACAAATCCATCCATCATTGTGGAATACCATGATCCTCCTCTACTACTTAATAAACAAGAACTAAAATTAGTGCAATAAGACTTGGATGAGGTATGTTTGGATAAGAATGGCATTACTCATCTTAGTGTTTTACAATGGCTCTTATCGGGCGAGGAAACTCCACGACTTGTTAATTAGGTGAGTGCTTAAGAGTTTCTACATGTTTCTTGCATCATTAGCAGTGTTATGAAGGTTTGGAACAAGGTTTTAATTGATATGACATTTGTTACCTTTACTGATAACGTCCAAATTCACTACTCAAAAGTACGCGGACATGGTCGCATGCAATATAATATATCCAACTATGAGTCGGAGTCGAATTTAACGGAGAACAATATGTAGCTGATAAGGCAAGTAAGAGAGTTATCGTTTATTATGCTAAGCCAAACACTTAAAAGGGTTTTGAGAAAATATTTATTTCTAAATGCGAAAATTTAAACTAACCTAAAAAGCAAGTAAAGTGAACAATTGCTACAAGCATGAATACACAGGGAATTACACTCAAGTAACGATCCAATTAGCCTTCGATATTAACTATATATTAGCTTTTTTTTGAAAACTAACAAGACTTCCTAATTGGATTATCCCTAAAACAATTAAGAGACTAAGTGCACTCGATTATGGCTATAAGTAATTCAATCCTATCCCAAGGTAGAATCTATAAAGTGAGGGTTAACGCTTCAAGTTCTTATTGATTAATCTTTCCCAACCCCAAGTTACCTTTTCCAGGATTAATTCGATGTTAATGGGCGGGTCCTAGAGTTAGCTAATCCCTTTGAAAACATTAAGGAACAAGAATAATGAAAGAAACAATATCTAACTTCGTAATAAATAATAATCGTTCAATACATAAGCAACACAATTTTTAATTCAAACTTTAAATATGAATATTTTTCATAAATAATATTCAAATATTTGAATAAATATACTACACTTAAATATTCAATACAAAGCAAGAAAATGAAGAAATGAGAAAAAAGGGCAAGAAAATCTCAACCAAAGTCTTCAAATCTTCAAGTGCCAAATGTGTGTATGTGTGATAAACGCTAGCTCCATGCTTTTCTTTCTTAGTCAAGAAGACCAAAAATTAGCCAAAAAATGCCATGAGTGTGGTCCTCAATAGTAAGAACAAGGGTCATCAAAGTATGAACAACTACCATCCGACCAATTTTTGTTAAATGATGCCATTTTTTAAAAACTAAAAAAATAAACAAAGATAAGAGAATAAACAAATATAAGAAAAATAGCTACACAAATATTCATAAGTTTGGACCAAAGCTCGTACGTTTACTCAAACAACCTAAATGCGCCAAATTGTTCCCCGACAACGGCACCAATTTTTATGATGTCCAAATTCACTACTCAAAAGTAAGTAGACACGGTCACATGCAATATAATTTACTCAACTATGAGTCGGGGTCGAATCCCACAGAGAACAATATGTAGGCGATTAGGCAAGTAAGAAAATTATCGCTTATTATGCTTAGCCAATCATTTAAAAGGATTTTGAGAAAATACTTATGTCTAAATACGAAAATATAAACTAACCTAAAAAGTAAGTAAAATGATCAATGGCTACAAGCATGGATACACAGAGAAGTATACTCAAGTAACGATCTAATGTATTTCAAGATTTTACAAATATGAGCGAGTTTATATTAATTAGTCCCAGATATTAATTCTATATTAGCTTCTTCCGAATACTAACAAGATTTTCTAATTATATTATCCCTAAAAGAATTAAGAGATTAAGTTCACACAATTATGAATATAAGTAGTTTAATTCCATCCCTAGGTGGAATCTATAAAATGAGGGTTAACGCCTCAAGTTCTTGTTAATTAATCGTTCCCAACCCCAAGTTATCTTTTCCAAGATTAATTGAAAGTTAATGGGCGAGTTCTAGGGTTAGCTAATCTCTTTGAAAACATTAAGGAATAATAGTAATTAAACAAACAATAACTCACTTCATAACAAATAAAAATCGTTCGAAACATAAGCACAACAAGATATTTAATCCAAACTTTAAATATTCATATTCCCATAAAGAAGATTCAAATATTTGAATAAATGCATCACACTTAAATATTCAATAAAAAGCAAGAAAGTATAGAAATGAGTAAAAATGGGTAAGAAACTCTCAACCAAAGTTTTCAAATCATCAAGTCCCAAGTGTGTGTGATAAACCCTAGCTCCATTTCTTTCTAAGTCAAGAAGATAAAAAAAATTAGCCAAAGATGTGTTTCCAATAAGCTAGGTCGTGTATTTATGGGTTTGGGTTCAAGAAAATATGAAATGTCAAGTATGTCCAGAGATGAAGCCTGTTGGTTGCACCTGCGGAAGTGTAATGACCCGACCGGTCATTTTGAGCATTGGCACTTCGATCGGTAGTGTATGGGCATAAGTGTCTTTGTATGATATATTTTGACTTGTGTGAATCGTCGGCTTTGGTTTCCAGGTTATTCGGAATTGATCTGGAAGAATGATTCTCAACTAGGAAGCTTTAAATTGGAATAGTTGACCAAGTTTTGACTTTTTAGTATTTGACCTCAGATTTGAGTTTTGATGGTTCCTTTAGCTCCTTGGGTAATTTGGACTTAGGAGCGTGTCCGGATTGTGATTTGGAGGCCCGTAGTTGAATTCGGCTTGAAATGACGAAAGTTGGATTTTTAGAAAGTTTGACCGGGAGTGAAATTTTTTATATCGGATTCAGATTGTGGTTTTGGGAATTGGAATAGCTTTGTTATGTCATTTGGGAGTTGTGTGCAAAATTTGGGATCATTCCGAGTTGGTTTGCTATGTTTCGGCAAGAGTTATAGAAGTTGAAAGTTCAAAGTTCATAAAGTTTGAGTAGAGGTGTGATTCATCGTTTTGATGTTGTTATGCATGATTGGAGGCCTTAAGTAGGTCCGTGTTATGTTATTGGACTTGCTGGTATAATTGGACAGGGTCCCGAGGGGCTCAGGTGAGTTTCGGGCGAGGATCGGATCATTTCTATTCCATGTTGCATTGTTTTAGGTATGTTGGTTCTGGTGTTTCTGCATCTGCAGAAGGATGGGCATAGATGTGAGTCCAGAGACGTGGACAGTTGGTCGCAAGAGCGCAAGAAGACTTGGATGGAACAGATCGTAAAAGTGAAAGTTGGGGCGCATCTGCGGCCCCGCAGAAGCGAAGGTCTTGG